CAGCAGGAAGTGCTGGACGTTCAGCTGCAAATAACCACACAAACCGATGTAAACAGCAACGGTCCACTTTGATTTTGGCTCCATTCTGACTAGCCGTTGGCTTTCAATCTCTGTAAAGACTATGCTGTGTGTCTGCGAAGCTTTTACAGCACAAAAATAACCTGAAATCATCCGAGGAAGCAATCAGTCGAGCAGTTTGATGTCCTGAGATCTGGCCTCAGCGCAGATCACTAGTTTTTAAATAAAAGTCTGCAGAAAAAGAAAACGTCTCGTCTTTAGAACAAAGTCTGACCTGGGTTGAGTCCGTTTTACCCCCCCCCCCCCCCCCCCCCCCCCCAGCATCACATGGCGCTGGCCTCAGCGAGGTCTGTGCAGCACATGATGCAGCCGTGGACACACGGAGATTTAAAGTCGTAATAAAACAACGCGGGACCTTCAGCTGTGGAAACAAGCGCCACATTTAGAAATCGGATGAGAGGATGTTTTGTATGAAGTCGGATTTGAGGAGATTTAATTTCCTGGCTGTGAAAGACAAAGAGAAATGTAAGCAGCCTGAGCGAATGAATCGGTCTTCTTGGGTTTCAGATAACACACAGATTGTTTTTGTTGTTTCCCCTCTGGAAGCGTAGCTTTGGGCGACGGCCAAACAGGAACAGTCTGATTTGATATTTTCATTTAAATATATTCAAAGCTGAGAACACACTTATTCCCTCCAGACGCTATTTTTGTTCCTGCAGCTCTACGGTCACAAAGCCAGCAGTCAGCTCCCATGTTAATAAACTCATTTGGTTAAGTTCATTCATTCACAGATTCATTCATTCACCAAACAGAAACAGCTTTTCACATCTTGTCAAAGATTGTGTTTCTTCTAAATAACCCCAAGACTCCGTTTTCTACCAGAACACAACGCTTTTCCACAGGGAGTCACATAGATGCGACGCAGGTGTGAATGTGAGACAGAAATAAAGCTCCGGCGCTCCGGTGTTGTGCTGATATGAGTTCCCCCTCCTGCTCCGGACCGCTCAAGCAGCAGAAAACTCACATCCTCATTCCGAGTTTTATTCCCAGAGCTCTGCTCTCTCTGCAGGGGAACAAGCGTGCTGCGCGGTGGCCGTAGCTTCACCAGGTGAGCAGCAGACATCAACACCTGGAGCACCCCTGGTTTTACAGAACTGCTCTGAAGTTTGAGATGTTTGTCAGTCAGAGCTGAACATAAACAAACTAAAGAAACCAGCTAATAACTATCTAAACTATAACTTTATTACTGTGATGAGACAACGTACCAAGGCCAGTCAAACACCCGGCAGAGGCGTTACTGACCTTCACACACAAACCGACAAAAAAGGTTTAGAAAAATCACTTTCCAGATGTGGAATTTTCCAGAACTCTATTTTTCCACAGCTGGGTGGCTGTGAGAACCTTATAACCCACCAAGTGGTCCAGTGAGCATCTACCTGTGTGGGCGGGGCTTAAGTTGTCTGCCTGCTCCAGGACCAGCACCAACAAACACCTCTCAGAGTCCAGGAGCAGGCAGAAGACTGGAGACAGCAAGCAGCACATTGGGATAGCCATAAACTCAGGACATCGCGCTGCAGCCTCTGCTGATAAAAATCTCACTAAACAGCATAGTGGTTCGGGTAGGAACACTAGGGGGCGCTCTCTACCTGTTTTATGGTAATAGCTGTTTACTGTGCCAGTAGCTAGGGCTAGGATTTAGCTTTATCAGCTCGCTGACCATTAATAAAAGTAAGAGAGTGAGTACCAGAGCTAAAACCAGAGTGAACAATGGCGCAGCCTACACTCGTCTGATAAAGCTAAGGAGGCTACGAATTCCCGGACTGATGGTGACCTGGCTTTGTTGCTGTTAGACTTGTAAGTAATAATATTTTTAGTCCAACGGTGTGGATCTTTTTACTTCACAGCTTATTTCGTATCAGTTGGACTGTGTTAGTGTTAGCTTGTTGTTAGCATGTTAGTGTTAGCTTGTTGTTAGCACTAGCTACAGCAGAGTGCAGCAGGTTTGTTTACGTCAGTTGTAATTCCACTTTCAACCAGTAGGAGGGAGAAGTGGGAAACAAATTAAAGCTGTTATAACAGATCTGCCATCAAGCTAGGTTTTAAACCTAGCGTTGGCTGGAACTGGAAACCCATGATGAAACGAGATAGCGCTAAACACCTGTCTCCGTTTTTTAGATCCAAACGTCTTCTGTTGTCCGTGACTTCAGACGGTGATTTTCTTTTTGGGACTCTGGTGGTTTGTCCTAAAGCTGAAGCGGTAGCAGCTGCTGTTTCTCCTCCTCTGATGTTCCTGAGCGGAGAACCTCTCACACCGGTGGTGTTCTGCTGCTGATTAGTGAGTGTGTGATGAGTGGAGGACCCGGGGAGGTGTGACGGTTGAGGTGGAGGATTTTAGACGAATGCGAGAGAACCGAACCCCCGTGTTAGCTTTTTAATCTCCACATATATTTATAGTTATGGAACATTGGTAAGAGACACGAAAAATGCTTGAAGCCAATTTGTTTTCCAAATTTGTCGTTGCAGCTCCCAGTGTTGCTGTAATGGATGTTTTTCCTCATAGATCCATGGACGTGTCTTGGGAATGATTATGTGTCCACATGCATGAGCGTGTAAATGTCCGTGTTACCTGGAGGCCATGTGGGTTCAGGCTGGTGTTTGTCCGGCAGCTAATTGGGCCGTCGGTTTCAATCTCCATGGCATACAGCAGGTTCTCGTCATGGTATCGGGAGGGCCAGCCCACCTGAAGCTCAGCCTCACCGATACTGCTGGGACCGAAGTTATGAAGCTGGAGGACGGGCGAAGCAAAAGCAAAGGGCTGTCAGCATCGGACTGTTTCCGGCCCTGTTAGCAGGTCTCCTGTGGCCGAGGCTACAATCAGGTTATCATAACTGTGGCTTGATGAGACGGGCCACCTGTGTTTTCATGGAGATAATCCTAATGCAGCCTCCAGTCACTGGGGACGAGTTAATCCCTCATCATCATCAGGATGATCTTCCTCATCAGCACTAGTGTCGATGAATAATGACCCTAAACTAGCACCATTTAAAACCAACACACACACACACACACACACCCAAACAGGACATGATCCCGCTGCTGCAGGGCAGGAATTCTTAAGAGCAGAGAAGCTCGGTCCCGTCTAACGAGAAGCAGCTGTCCGCTGGGAAAAGTCCCACAAATGAAAATCATTATCAGCTGCAGGATGGAGCAGACGGTGTTGCACCCTGGTTCATTAAAACCAGTCCACACACACACACACACACACACACACACGCACACACACACACACACGCACACGCATACACACACACACACACACACACACACATACACACACGCACACACACACACACATACACACACACGCACACACGAGCACACACACGCGCACACACACACGTACATGCACGCGCACACACACACATACATGCACGCACACACACACACATGCATGCACACACACGCACACACACACACACACACACACACACATACACACACGCATACACACACACACACACACACACACACACACATACACACACGCACACACACACACACATACACACACACGCACACACGAGCACACACACGCGCACACACACACGTACATGCACGCGCGCACACACACATACATGCACGCACACACACACACATGCATGCACACACACACGCACACACATGTATGCACGCACACACACACACACACACACACACACACAATAAGTCTGTCTGACAGTCTTACTCCTTCGATTTCTTCACCTGAACACACACTTCTCTGCATTTACTCGTTACATAACCTCTGCATCATCCATCCATCCTCCCTCCTTCATTCCTTCCCTCCCTATTCCCTTCTGTTTATTCTTCTCCTCACTCCGTCCTGCCCTCACAGCAGTAATGAGTCTAGAGCTGCAGACCTTTGATCATCTATGTCTTACTTCTTTATGGAGCCACTCGTTTTACAGTGTGTGTGTGTGTGTGCGTGTGTGTGTGTGTGTGCGTGTGTGTGAAATGCTGCTGTTTGAATCTCGTTGCTGACGTCTCACTACTGTTGGAGCCTGAATAAAACCTCTCACACCTCCTTTTTTCTCTTTTCTCCTCATAATATCTTATAATGATGAGCAATAATGACAGGAACGTTCTCCACTTATCCACTCAGATTCACCAAATCTGGAAAGTTGTTTGATCTTTTGGCCTGATGACACACACACACACACACACACACACACACACACACACACACACACACACACCTCATAGATGTGTGTTACTTGTGGTCCAACGTCGTCCTCTTTCACTGGCTTCTCTTTAGGTTGCCAGTTTGGAAACGGCAGCACCACCTGAGAGGGATGAGACACCCTGGAAGAAGCACAAACAGCTTGATGATGCTGATGGAGACGTGTTCATGGACGGGAGGACCGACATCTTTTTTACACGAAACTAAGACAAACATTTAGGATCCAGTAAATTTATTTGAGTTGGGCCACTTGCCACGGCCGGCATGAAGCTCTAAGTAGAACGTTTGCCAAAGAGGCTTCATGCATCTGCTGCCCAGACTCTAACAGACGTCAGATTTCTTCTGTAGATCACGTTCTTCTGTAAGTCACTCAGGCTTCCATCCTGTTCTATGTAGAAATTGACTAAACATTGCAAAGAGAAGCAAGATAAAAGGTTGAAGCTGCTGCAAATGGCTGATTGGGGTTACCGCGGTAACCACACACCTGCACCTCCTACTCCCAGTGAAACACAAAAGTGCATCAAATAACAAGTTCAGTCCAAATTTCTGTTTTCACGGTCTGCCTGAGCTACGCAGCTCTAAAATGTGTCGGGTTTTCTCGCTCATCAGTGCTCGTGGAAACGGTTAGCAGCCCTTTAGCTTTTCTCAATTCGTTCAGCGTGTCGCTGCAGAGATTCTCAGTGCTTTGATGTGTTTTCTGACAGGATTTTCCAGAGCTGCAGGGGTCAGGTACCTAAAGAGGAATATGTCCTTTTGTAAGTGACATCTACATATTCAGTTACAGCGTTTCAGGACTCATCCAACACCCGGACTAAAAGGTGTAACTAATAAAAAGGACAGATTGTTGTGAAATCATTGATTTAGAGGGAAAGAAAACAACCTTTTATACAGCGCCTGTCAAGATAAAAATCACAAAACGTTTCACAAAAAGTCTAAAAAAGATTTCCAAAAATAATTAAAATATGTTTGAAATGAGAAAAAATAAAAATTGTGAATAAAAATAAAACGTAAGAAAAGGGAGAGAGAAAGTGAACAGGTGAGTTTCAGCTGCTTTATTTTTTTATAAAGAAGTCGTTCATACAGCAGATGACGTCATCACGTATCTTCTTACGCGCCCACCTAACAGCTGCTTCTGCCACACGTGACCTCAGAGGGCAAAAACACTCGTGTGTGTGTGTCGGTTCAGATGCTGCAGAGTTATCTCTGTAGTTATGCTGCTATAGGCTTAGACTGCTGGAGGACACACTGACCACTTTTCACTCTCTACTGCTTTCTTCTACAATCTGCTCTTTAACTGTATTATTTCCTGCTATTCCAGCTGTTAACTTTATTTTCTCTCTAAGTGTTTTTCTCCCCAGAAGAAGCTACAACGATGTTCTGCTGAGCTGTGGTGGCCTCATGGAGGGGGCCATCGTCTAGCACACTGCTGCTAACCACTTAAACATTCTCCCTCTCCTGATAATAACTTTTTATTCTCTTTGACGTTGGATGTGCTACTACTAGTTTACCCGTTTAATTATAGATTCACTAGAATAAATACAATAAAGTTTATCTCTCACCAAATAGAATATTTACTAAGACATCACAATATAACTGTAGACACATTACTTGTGTGTGTGTGTGTGTGTGTGTGTGTGTGTGTGTGTGTGTGTGTGTGTGCGTGTGTGTGTGTGTGTGTGTGTGTGTGTGTGTGTGTGTGTGTGTGAGTGTGTGTGTGTGAATTATTTCTGGCAAACAGCAGAAGATTAGATTAAAACCACTGACAAATAAATAAAAAACATTAGTGACAGTTTGACCCGTAGATGAGCTGGACTCACCCCCGCAGATCGAGCTGTGCGCTGGCGGTGATGGACATGTTCATGGTGACCAGGTTACTGCTGGAGTTGTCTTTGTTGGAGCTGCAGAGATAAAAAAAAAACACGTGAACTGAAGTATATGAAACAGCAACGTTTACACCGTGTGACCTTTATGAAACTAAGAGTGGTCCTGAGAGAAGCACGGTGGTGGCTGCATTATAGTCTGTTGTTGCTTTTTGTCAGAAGCATTTTGGCTCATTTGGATGAGTCTACGTCATCATGCTGTCATAAGACACCGCTGCATGCTGGGATGCACCAAAGACAGAACTCCAAACCAACCACGGCTCTATGTCCTAGAGGAACCAGCATGCTGAATCTGGTGGTGTGGTATGGAGAACCATCTGTTTCCCTCTGGTTCTGCAGTTTGAGACCAGCCATGAGATCACAGACGGGATCAGAGCAGAACATATTCACACGGATCGCAGGAAAGAGCGACAGAGGTTAGCAGTGCAGGTGAGTGTGTCACCTGTGGATCTGTAGCTCAAAGCTGATCTTTGGTCCGGCATCCTCCAACCTTTGTACCGAAAACCTCAGACCAACAGCCAGCTGGGCAGGAAGACCGAAAACAGAGAAATCAGGAATTAGAAGCATCTGCACATCAAAGGAAGCGTGTGTGTTTGGGAAAAGGACGGTAAAATCCACGTAACCGGATCTTTCCTGTTACTTCATCGTGACAATACTAGAATAAAGTGTGTTTTTATAGGTGTGTGTGTGTGTGTGTGTGAGACAGTACGTTTCTTAAATCTGACAAAAGCCAGACTACAGACACACACTTAAGGACCACAGTTAAGTTCCTCGTCTCTCCTCTGTTTAAATCCCCGTCCTCCAGACTAACTGAAAACACGTGGAGAGGTCGGCTGCGGCTTGTGTGTGTGTTCTTACATGTGTGTGTGTTCTTACACGTGTGTGTGTTCTTACACGTGTGTGTGTTCTTACACGTGTGTGTGTTCTTACACGTGTGTGTGTTCTTACACGTGTGTGTGTTCTTACATGTGTGTGTGTTCTTACACGTGTGTGTGTTCTTACACGTGTGTGTGTTCTTACACGTGTGTGTGTTCTTACATGTGTGTGTGTTCTTACACGTGTGTGTGTTCTTACACGTGTGTGTGTTCTTACACGTGTGTGTGTTCTTACATGTGTGTGTGTTCTTACATGTGTGTGTGTTCTTACACGTGTGTGTGTTCTTACACGTGTGTGTGTGTTTACAAGCAAAAAACAGGTCGAGCTCTGGCTCCAGCGGGGAGAAAGGACACCACGCAGACTTCAAGAGGCATGTCTGCAGGGGGTGGGGGGTGCAGGCCTGCAGGACCACAGAGTCAGGCTAACCTGTACAGGACATGATACAGAGCCTGGGAGGGAAAAGCCAGGCGGGGAAGATCTGAAGGAACAGACATCAGATGCATTCGTTCAGAGGGGACATGATGTCAGCGCCCACAGACACAGGAAGAGGAGGACAGGCGACGCTTCAGATGAAGAAGAAGAAAATATCATTTCTATAGCGCCTCTCAAGATAAAAACCACGAGGCGCTTCACAAAAACAAAAAATGTAAAAATATTAAAAAGCATTTAGCAAATGTTTTAAAATATATTTAAAATGAGCAAAAAGAGACAATTGTGATTAAAACAATGTTAAGAAAGAGAGAGAGTGAACAGGAAAGAGGGAAACCAGTGGATCCTGAGGAAGGTGGGATAGGTGGGGAGAGCAGAATAAAGAGAGAGAGGTGAAGAAGGTCATACAAAAGCCAGCTTGAACAAGTGAGTCTTCAGCTGCTTTTTAAAGGAGACCACTGAGTCCACTGATCTCAGGCTCAGGGGGAGAGAGGTCCAGAGT